TTTTGGCAGGGAGTTTCACTCGGGTCTTGGACCTCTGCGGGAAGTCTGCTCTCTGGTCAGTCTGAATTCTACTAGGTTGCTGGATACTGCCCTGCCGGTCCCGTAAGGTGTGTGTGTTCTGCACCTCGCTATCGGGGCATTTTCACACTCTGTGTGCACTAGGTGGGGCTGTTGAGTCTTGCAAAGGGTTCCCGCAGGGTGTGTAATTATTGTTATTTTTTTTTCCGAGACTCCGCCTCCTTTTGCCGGACCCCTCCCCACTCTGTGCGCTCAGAACAGGGCTGATGCGTGTCTTCTGCAAACCTCGTCTTTCAGCTAAGACATCAAAGCTGTGCCCTGCCCCACCCTGCCCAGGAAGAGTTTCAGGTGTCTAGTCTCTCCAACTGCAGGGTGTGAGCTCCTCAGGGGAGGGTCCCACAGCACACAGTTCCTCTTTGACTCCCCCCAGCACGGGTCGCCCATAGCGCCCTCTGGGAATGCTCTCCGGCAGCTTCAGTGCAGCTCCAGAGCGCTCCGGGCTCCCCTCTCCCAACCAGAAATCAGTTAGGGGTTCTTCCAAACTGAGGCCCACAGAGATGGTATCTGCCTCCCGGAAACAGGGAGTTTACCTGGGGCCGAAGCCCAGGGTGTGGTGGAGAGACGATCTGGGTGGGCTCCTCTTCCCTGCCCTCCCAACGCTGGCCGGGGGATCCTCACGCTACCAGCCCCGTCAGAGATCCACGGGGAGAGTTGGATTGTAGGCCGGTCCACAGGCCCTGGGGTGCCCCGCGTCGAGGTAAGCAAGTGGCACGTCTCAGTGAGGAGCCGTGCCAAGCAGAGATGGCTGGCCTGCCTGATCTGAGCCGGCCGTCTCCGCCCCCACCCGAGAAAGGCTCTGTTGCGGGCGCCTAGCCTGGTGTGGTAGGTGGGAGCCAGGCGGGCGGGGAGCAGTCGGGCTTCGCCCCACAAGTGGGGCTGGACCGGGGGTGACTCGCAGAGCTCGCAGAGTTGGGCCGGTCCGGCGCCTTCCACTCCGTTTCTGTGTCGTCTCTGCTGACTTACTTGGCCTTTGTTGTCTCAGGCTGCTCACTCGAACCCGCAGCAGGGCTTGGGCGCTCTCAGGAGTCTTCTTTTGTGTCAGCCCTAAAACCTCGAACCTGTTGTTGCTTGTTTGTCATTGTAGGTTCATTGTTCAAAGATTTATTCGTTTTTTGTTGCTCTTGGAAATGCAAATAGTACTCTGGTATCACAGCGCACACTTCTCAGGGTCACGCTATCTCCTGCACGGCCGCTCCAGACCCATCGCCATCTTAAAAGTCTAGAATACACTTAGTAAAGCATTTATTCCTGGGTCCTTTCCTGAACAGAACATTCTGTCATCTCATATAAGGACTTTAAAAAGAAGTGTTTTTTGTAATTTTTTTTCCTGAGGAAAGGGTATGCGTATGTGCATATGTGTATTTATATGTATGAATAAGTGTTTATGTGTAGATGTACACATGAACATATAACTCTGAAACATACTTCTAATAAAATCATTATTGTGGAAGGAATTACTAAGATATTAGTGTCAGTTGCACCATTTTCTCTTTCCCCAAATAACAGTTGAAGCCATAACATAACAATTTTTATACTATATTGGCTAATAGAATATAAGTGCATATTTCTTTTTTTTTTTTAAAGATGACCGGTAAGGGGATCTTAACCCTTGACTTGGTGTTGTCAGCACCACGCTCAGCCAGTGAGCGAACCGGCCATCCCTATGTGGGATCTGAACCCGGGGCCTTGGTGTTATCAGCACCACACTCTACCGAGTGAGCCACGGGCCGGCCCGACAAAAATGTTTTAAATTGGATTGTGCTGATGGTTACAAAGCTGTAGATTACTGTATATAAAAGTTAAATAATCTCATGAGGAAGCAATTAGCCAAATACAGGGTGGTGTAAGTGCATATTTCAAATTGTTGCTGATGAGTTCTTAAGCATTATTTCTGTTTGTGGGTTTCTTTACAAATTTTAACCCCTTACAGAAATATGAATTTTTTTTTTCCCCCCTAATAAAGATGACCATAAGGGGATCTTAAGCCTTGGCTTGGTGCTGTCAGCACCACACTCTCCCGAGTGAGCCACGGGCTGGCCCCCCAGAAATGTGAATTTCTGAGAAGCACTTTATTTTTTATCAATTCCCACATCCAGTGAATAGACAAACATGAAACTTTCCATAAATGAACTAATCTTGCAGTTTCTCCTCCATCTTTTTAAACAGGTGAGAAACCTCATAGATGTCACTTATGTCCATTTGCATCTGCTTATGAGCGTCATCTGGAGGCCCATATGCGTTCCCATACTGGAGAAAAACCATACAAATGTGAATTATGTTCCTTCCGCTGCAGTGATCGAAGTAACCTCTCCCATCATCGAAGGCGCAAGCATAAAATGGTACCAATTAAAGGTACTAGGTCTTCCTTAAGCAGCAAGAAAATGTGGGGCGTTTTACAGAAGAAAACAAGCAATCTGGGGTATAGCAGAAGAGCACTAATCAACTTAAGTCCACCTTCCATGGTGGTTCAGAAACCAGACTACCTTAATGATTTTACTCATGAAATCCCAAATATCCAAACTGACTCCTATGAAAGTATGGCAAAAACCACACCAACTGGTGGCTTACCTAGGGACCCCCAAGAACTGATGGTTGACAATCCATTAAATCAGCTCTCGACTCTAGCAGGACAGTTGTCCAGTTTGCCGCCTGAAAACCAAAACCCCACCTCCCCTGATGTAGTTCCCTGCCCCGACGAAAAGCCTTTCATGATTCAGCAGCCCTCTGCACAAGCCGTGGTTTCTTCCGTGTCAGCAAGTATTCCTCAGAGCTCCTCTCCCACAAGCCCTGAACCTCGGCCATCACATAGTCAAAGGAACTATAGTCCCGTGGCAGGTCCAAGCAGTGAACCAAGTGCCCACACAAGTACTCCTAGCATAGGAAACAGCCAGCCCAGCACTCCAGCCCCAACCCTGCCGGTCCAGGATCCCCAGCTTCTGCACCACTGCCAGCACTGTGATATGTACTTTGCAGACAATATCCTTTACACTATTCATATGGGATGTCATGGGTATGAAAATCCTTTTCAGTGTAATATATGTGGATGCAAATGTAAAAACAAGTATGATTTTGCCTGTCATTTTGCAAGAGGGCAGCATAACCAACACTGATTGAAAACAGTCATATCATTTTGTTTTACTTGGTTTTGACTTTTTTTTTTTTGGTCATCCCTAATAAGGTATCTGCTAATTTAAAGTTTACACGTTATACTTAATAGAATATAGATTTGACAGTGGAAACAAAAATTTCCCTTTTTATTTTTTTCATAAAAATCTGGTCAGGGTCATTTATGTATTAGAAAGTTAGACACATTGGTGTTCCTTTTTTCTTTTTAGACACTTGAGAATTATAGTTCAATCATAATCTTATAAGTGTGCATTTAAATTTCCCACATTAATGGTCCATAAAAACTTCAAGGCTTACCATACTCTTGATATTTCAATATATACCTTGCAACTAGATGTAATTTCTGCCATATTTCAAAATGGTAGAATAAATTATTTTGTTACAAAATCTGTTACAACTTATTTCAGTGTTTAGTAGAGAAATTGCCTTTGAAATTGCTCTTAATTGAAATACTATTTAGTTCACATATCTTAAGTTGTATCAGTTTCATTTCACTTATAATAGTAAAGCTATTTCAGTGTAGTAAGTCTTTCTTTTTTCCACAAGGGAAAATGTAAAACAGTTGATTATTTTAAAATTAAACTTATAAAAATACGAGGTGAAAGTCCTGAAAAGAAATGAAACTCAAGACTTTAAATTGAAAACTGTATTTAATATTTAAGATACCTGTTCATTCAATTTCTAGTTTAAGCACGTCAGTTTTCCATTGGATTTTTATTATACTCTCAGTTTATTTTTAAAAACTACAGGTAAATACACTAGAGTGCTAGATGCCCTTTTTCTTTTCATTTTCAATCTTGTTTAAATCCTTCATTCTGACATTAGCGTTGGGTGCGGTTGGTAACTATCATGATAATCTATCCTTATTACTTTGATGACCAAAGAGGTACAATGGAATTCATCCATCTTATTATTAAAATGCAGTCTTTTAAAAAAATCTCTAAAGTTACCTTTTTCTGCCTTCCATTTATTGCCCATAATTTCCAGGAAGAGGTGGGTATAGAAACACACAGAAGAAATGTGATAGTGAGGTATATTTGTAAAAATGAAAACATGTATCCGAAGTGGATTCTGGTCTCCTCTTTAGAACTGGCCGTTTAAAATATTTTCTGTCAATTCAAATTGTAATTCTTATTTGCAGTTTTACCAATCTTCATGTTACAGTGACAAAACTATATGGAAACTGTGACTGAATCATCGCCTTAGTAGGAAAGGATAAAAAGGTGAAAATGGATATTAAATACCTTTAAAGATGATATTTAAATTGTTCATAAAAGTAAAACTTGTTAAATAAATCTAGAGTAATCCATTTTGTATAGGAGGTTATTGTTTTTATATTACGTAATAATTAGCTTACTCTGAAGAGAGCTTGTTCAGACAATAAAATATATTGTTATTAACTGTTGTTTTCTGTGTACTTCGCAAAACTTTATTTTTAATTTGGTTCATATCTTAAAAGTGCTCCTAATTGGTTCTATAAAGAGAATATTCTAACTATTAAGCATCTATTAACCAAAAAGAATCCCTACTCTTGTAGTAAATAAAAGGAAAATATTGATGGTATATGCCCATAGAAACCCCAAGTGCCAAGTTAATGCATCCTCTGCCCTCCCTTCCAGATGCTAGAAAGCCATTAAAATGAGTTCTTGTGGTTTAGTATCCAATCTAAGCTAATCTCAACGGCATTGTTTAAAGAGCAGCATCAAGGATATTTCTCCAAACTGGAACTCTGCACCTTGTCAGATCTTGTGAACCTAAAATTCTACAATTCTGTTTCACTCTTGCTTAAGTCACTGCTCAGATTAGTTTTAGTGCAGCACTTTCCTCCAAATGTATAACTTGGCTCTAGTATTTAATCAATTGCCAGAAAGAAACAGGTTGTCATTTGGAAGCTTTTGTGATGATTCTTCCATTTTATTTGAATAAAAGCAATACCCCTAAATAGAAAATGAAAATTTTCATTAAACAAAGAGGAACAAAAACTCTTGTTAAAAACCAGCTTATTAACAACATATTCTGGGCCAAATAGTGACAAATACATTTTTTAAAACTACTAAAGATAGATATTTTGAAGGTGCATTATAATTTAAAGATACTTTTCATAATTACAAATTAGAATGTAAAATTTAATTTTCCTATGACTTAAAAAGCACAATTGGTATTCCAAAGGTGTTGATGTTTAAAAGCTACAATTATTCTAAATGCACTAAAATTTTTGAAGCAAATCTATTTTAGAAACTTCTTTGGTATTGTATTTTTTAATAGATTTAGACTTTATTTAAATTTCCTGTGAGTTAAATTCTGTATTTGGAAAGATGTTAGTTTCTTCCCTTATGTATTGAATGTTTCTCTCATTTTATTTTTAATCAAATATTTTATAGAAATGAGTTGTTGGGAAAAGTTTAACATGCACTATTTATAGTATTTTGCCCTAACAGGCAATGTTATGAAACTAAATTTATTTTTGTTCAGTGAACATAAGTTTAGATTTTTAAAGTTGGTAGATAATTTATCTCCACTAATATTTTTTTAAGAAACTGTGAAGAGACTAACAGGGAATAATTTTATTTCAGATTTTACTAATGTAGTATGTAGCTACAATTTCTTGAAATTCAAGTAAAGGCTTGACTTTTACTTTGAAAAAATTCCATTAGGTATTTCCAGCGCTATTTCATTTTAGAAATAAGTGTTTGCCATTCATCTGCAGAATTGTTTGACAAAGGGAATATTACTTAAAAAATATTCAGAAATAAACTTCATTTTAAGTTCTACAAAAATATTTATCAAATAAATACGTTATTACAAATAAAAAAAAATTCCCTGCTAAAGACTTTTTCATTAGTCTTAGAGGGTGTATGCTTTCTAGAACTTGTTTTGGTTAATATGTACTTTGATGTAAACAACATATTTTGTATGCAAAACAAAACTTTCATTATGGTTGTAATATACACTATGCTGTTTAGAAAGCAATTTAATGCTGAAATAACTAGAATGTAGTTCATATTGTGAATGAAGCTTTGCTTTTGTAATATATGAATAAAAAAATAACACTTTCTAACGACCCCGGTTTTTCTTCTTTGAAGATCAAATTTTTTAGTAATTTTCCAGGGTATAAAATGTTAAGTAAATAAATAGATTTTATGGCTAACACTGGTTTGAATTTCTAGTATGCCTTACGCATGAGAAGATCTGTCGCATGTTAAAAACAGAAACAGCTTCATAGATCTGCAACTTGTCTCCCTCCAAATTTCTTCTCTTTATTCAAGATCCATTTACTGTGACTCCTATCCCTCAAGAACCCTGAAGGTTCTGGCACATAAATAAGGAGGGCTGCCTCTGTGCTTAATTATCCATGTCACATGTGACAAGTGACTGAAGTAATTTGTTATGACAAATGGATCTTTTAGAATGAGCTGATTTTTTCTTATTTTCTTTTTTTTAAAGAATGGTCTTTGGCAATTGACATTATTGGCCTAGAAAACATCCAGTAATACAGACCTTTTAAGTAGTTTGCAAAAGTTTGCCAAAATCAGACATTTGATTGGAAATTCAGAAATTTTAATGCCGCTTTGAAAAATACTTCTGTACAATGTTATCTTTCTCATAAAGAAAAAAAGAAATGACATCTGATATGTCAGTGGTTTGTTGAAAGCACAAATAGTTTTTGTTTCCTTCTTTTATGTCCTCCAAAAAGTCTGCTTTGAGCTTGTTAAGTTCTTCTGCTAGTAGCTTCAAGTTGTAAGGAAGAACTTGTTCATCTAAAATAAAAAGATATCCTTAAATTACTTGTATAAATTAAATCTGGGCAGTCTAGTGACATCAAGAAATTGATTACTTCAGACAAACCAATCAGATTCTTTTATAAATAGTCACAACTGAGTGTAATATATAGATAAAAGGTCACATTAGTGACAAACCTGAAAGGGATTTTTTTGTTGTTGACGAGTTGAGCCAAGATGGCTGACTTATTATCTTATTGAACTAATGGGCAGAAAGGCAAAAAAGAAAAAATTGAAAATAACAATTTGGTTTTGAAACTGTTATCTAGAATGGTCGTCCAGTGTAATTTCTATAATGATGGAAATGTTCTCTATCTGCTCTATTCAATACAGTAGCCACTAGCTATATGTGGGTAGTGTTACTGAGAAACTGAATTTTTATTTTTTGTTATTGAGATATAAATCACATAACCATATACCTTACTCATTTAAACTGTACAATACAGTGGTTTTCAGTATATTCACAGTTACGTGGAACCACCACCACAGTCAATTCTAGCACATTATCATCTCAAAAACAAACCTGTACCTGTCATTCTCCTACCTACTTCCCCTATCCCCACCTCTAATCCCTAAGCAACTGCTAATCTTTCTGTCTCAAAATTTCCCTGTTCTGGACATTTCATATGACTGGAATTCACTTTGCATCACATTTTCAAGGCTCTTCCATATTGTAGCATGTATTAGTACTTCATTCGTTTTACACCCGAGTAATATTCCACTGTATGGATAATACCTCATTTTGTTTATCCATTTGTCAGCTGATGGACATCTGAGTTGTGACATCTGAGTTGTTGCTACCTTTTGGCTATTATGAATAATGCTGCTATAAACATTTGTGTACAAGTTTTTGTGTGAACACATGTCTTCATTTCTTGTGGGTATGTACCTAAGAGTAGAATTACTGGGGTTACATGGTAACTCTACATTTGAATGATTGGTAGGCATTTTTCCAAAGCAGCTGCACCACTTAACATTCCCACCAGCAGTGTACGAAGGTTCTGATTTCTCCAGAGCCTCAATAACACCTGGACTTTTCAATTCTAGCCATGCTAGTGGGTGTGAAGTGGTACCTCATTATGGTTTTGATTTCTTATTATCCTGATGACTAATGACAAGTGGGTTTTCATGTGATTATTGGCCAGTTGTATATCTTCTTGGAAAAATGTCTATTCTAACCTTTGCTCATTTTAAAAATTGGGTTATTTGGGTTTATTATTACGTAGTAGAAGTTCTTTATATATTTTGGATACAAGTCCCTTTTGAGACATGTTTGCAAATATTTTCTCCCATCTGTGGGTTGGTTGTCTTTTTATTTTCTTGATGGTATTGAAGATTTAATTTTACTTAAGCACATATCTAGAAACTAGTACCACCTCACCTCACCAAAAATATATATATTATATATATATATTTTTTTAATGGGTGGGAAATGAGTCAAGAGTGATTTTCTATTTCCCCTCTCCCCCTTCATTTTATAGACATAACAGAAGAAAGGCAAGTGGTTGAGAGAGAAGTCCTGGAACTATTTTTGTTTTTATTCTAATTATGCTGCCATTTCTGTTCCAGTCCTCTGTTTTTCAAACTTTGGATTGTAACCCATCAGTGAGTGGCAACCAGTGTTTTTCTAAAATGAAATCATATAGGGCCGGCCCGTGGCTCACTCGGGAGAGTGTGGTGCTGATAATACCAAGGCCGTGGGTTCGGATCCCATATAGGGATGGCCGGTTAGCTCACTGGGTGAGCGTGGTGCTGACAACACCAAGTCAAGGGTTAAGATCCCCTTACCGGTCATCTTTAAAAAAAAATAATAATAATAAATAAATAGATAAAATGAAATCATATAGAACATAGTAAAGTTCATTGAACAGGTGAGGGTGTTTTGTGAAACTTGTTTTCACACATGAGTTCGTGCACTGGGTTATACACTGGGTTACAACATAAAATCTGCTTATGGATCATGGTTAATAAAAAAAACTTGAAAAACATACTATTGTTAGTATATTGTTCCCTTTGCCAATGTTCTTGGCTTTTGTAAAAGTAATAAGAAATGTTGGTGATGCAGGGGAGTATAACAGCACAGGCTGGAGTCGGACTTAACTCTGAACCCAGGTTGCCCAAGTATCTAGTAGCATTGAGTAGCTCTCCAGCCTTGGTAGCAGCTATCAAATTCTTTGATCCTCTGTGAACCTCCATCTACTTGTAGGATTGTTAAGATTAGAAACAATATTTATAAGGCTCTCAACATAAAAGGTGGTCAAGGAATGTTAGCTGCTATTTTTTTTAATCAAAATTTAAATATAGCAATGAGTTCCATACTCAAAACCTAAGGAATTATTTTATACAACTATAATTAATACATATTTTACTTATTATATAAATTCAGATTTACAATTCACTGACCTTGTTCAAACTCTACGCTAATCTTACACCTGGGTTCTGACTATCTCTCCCCCCACAGCCTCTTTGCTGTTGTAGAATATTCCAAACAACTTTGTTCTTCGCACTTGATGTGTCCACTGCCTGGAATGATCCTCTAGATATCTGTATAGTTTGCTCCTTCCCTTCATTCACATCTCTGCTTAAATATCATCTCTGAGAAGTCTTCCTGATTACCCTTTAAAAAATAAATCTTATCACTCTACACCGTCTTATCTTACTTTATATTTCTTCAGAGTACTGGCATATATTCACACAAGTATTTTTTGGTCTGTCTCCTCACTAGAATGTTCTGCTTCCCGCTGATTCCCCAGCATCTAGAATAAGTCCTCGTACAGAGTAGCCACTCAGTAAAAATTTATTGGATGAATGAATACCCAGTTGCAGAGATAAGATTTTTAGTTATATTTAACCAAATTGCATACTTAAACTGAAAACATGATGTAAGCTTTTAAGGATGAAAATTAATCAGCTACCTGAGTGTCAGGGGAACAACAGTAGCTACAGAAAGTCAATACCATACCTATTAAACAGCACGTAAATGACCCAACATACCTTTTGCTTCCTTCATCGTCTGAGACACAATTCTTCGCAGTGTCTGATCAGCTTTATGAAGAATGTTAGTTGAACAAATAATTCTGTCTGTTTCCTATGTAATATAGACATCGTTATTGGAAGAATTATATAGTTTTATAAAAGAAACGGCTAAAGTGTAAGTGACATGTACTGGAAGGGACTAAAAGAAAAGTGGCTTTTCTGTTTGTTATTCTTCCTTAGGAGAGGGTCCACATGAATTACATCCAGTTGTAAACTGGGTTCCATCTAGGCAATGGTATGCTGGTGAATGTCTAATAACTGGCTCTCCAGAAAAAAACAAAACAAAACATCCCCAAAGCTACCTGTAGTGTTTGCCAATTTCTCTGACGTAAACACTCCCATCCTTGCCCATTTCAAAAGCTACCAACATGACATAAAGGGCTCCAACATTTGTGAAAATTTAACAATCAGCTCTAGCCAGCTGGCCCAAGCTGCCAGCAGTGCATCACTGCATCCAGGTGTCAGTAGCGGGATGCTGGTGAGATGCCAAGCCAATGACAAAGCATCTTTTGCTTTTGCTCACATTTTATACCCAGTTCAAATTGTCCTATGAAAAGTTGTTCCTTCTTACACTAAATCTGAACTGGAAGACTTACCTTCTGTTCCATATTGTCTTCAACATATTTTACTGGATTTTCCAAAGCAATAAGCAATAGGTCAGTCACCTCCAGGCTATTGAGAAAGAGGGACAAAATACAGTAAGTTCTTATATCAAGTTTCTCTGTGTTTTAGTCTGTTTTGTGTTGCTATAACAGAAATACCTGAGACTGGGTAATTTATAAAGAACAGAGGTTTTCTTGGCTTACGATTCTGGGACAGTTGCATCTGGCACAGGCCTCAGGCTGCTTCTACTCATGGCAGGAAATGGCAGGCAGGGGGAGGGTACAAGCAGATCACATGGCGAGAGGAAGCAAGAAAGAGAGAGGAGGTGCCAGGGTCTTTTTAAGCAACAGCTCTCAAGCTCTCCTGGGAACTAATAAAGCAAGAACTCACTCATTAATCCTCCCTCCCCCAGGGAGAGCATTAATCCATTCATGAGGGATCCACCCCCACGACTCAATCAGTTTCCAACACTGCCACATTGGAGATCAAAGTTCCACATGAGTTTTGGAGGGGACAACACATCCAAACTCCATCACTCTGTTTTTAAAGAACTTTTATTTATGATTGCTAAATTAAATTCCAGAGAAATAATTCTGCTTTAATCCAAGATCCTTAACAAAAGGAACAAACTTGAAGATTTGGAAGTTACCTTCTACTTGCAAAATCCAAATGTAGTAGCTGAAAACAAATTATAAGCCAAAAAAAAACCCACTCATTAAAAAATATTAATTTCCTAAGACTCAGATCAATAAGCTTTGAAAAGTCATTCTCTTTCCCTATTCAGTGCTGAACTGTAGTCTGCCAGAACTCTATTTTATTCCCTAAAGAAAGATGTTCAGTCTTGACTTTCTAGTTCCTGCTTATTTACTGGATATAGATTAGCAAAGTTCCTCACTGATAAAGGGTCCACGGAGGGTTGAGGTAGAATCCATTTGTTCATTTAACAAATATTTATTGAGCACCTTCTTATATGAAAAATACTGTACAACTACATACATGAAACTATGCGCTAAGCTGGGGGAGACGGATAGCGAGACCCCTACCCTCTCCAGCCTGATTATGTTTTTTTTTTTTTTTTTAAAGATGACCAGTAGGGCCGGCCCGGTGACGCACTCGGTAGAGTGCGGCGCTTGGGAGCGCAGCAGTGCTCCCGCCGAGGGTTTGGATCCCATGTAGAGACCGGTCCGCTCACTGGTTGAGTGCGGCGCAGGCGTGACACCGAGGGTTGCGATCCCATTACCGGTCACGAAAAAAGACAAAAAGGAAAAAAAAAAAAGATGACCAGTAAGGGGATCTTAACCCTTGACTTGGTGTTGTCAGCACCATGCTCAGCAAGTGAGCGAACTGGCCATCCCTATATGGGATCCGAACCCGTGGCCTTGGTGTTATCAGCACCGCACTCTCCCAAGTGAGCCACGGGCCAGCCCCAGCCTGATTATGTTAATGGAGAGAGACAGATAAAAAAGTTGACTAAACAAGCAAAAAATAATTTCGGACAGCGATAAGTAGATAAGGGAATGAAGACAAAGTGGTAGTGATAAGAGAGTGACTGGGTAGCTCAACTAACATTCTTCATTTCAATTAGGATGGTCAGTGAAGGCAGTTAAGTGTACATATGTGGGAAGGAAAGTGCGGACAACAAATTCTGGCCCTGAGGCCAGAACAAGCTTCTTGTGTTAATGAAACTGAGAAGTCCAGTTTGGCTGAAAAGTAGCAAAAAGAGAGAGTGGTAGGATATGAGGCTGGAGAGTTAATCAGGGTTAGAACACATCAGTTATGGAAACGACTTTGAATTTCACTCAGAGTACAGGGGGTAGTACTGCAAAATTTTAAGTCAGTGAGCTCAAAAAGTTAAATCTCAATCTCAAGATGATCTTTCTCACATTGAAAAGAGCCCAGTTTCTGGAGTGACTGAGATTGCACTAAGTCCAAATCCTGGCACTACCACTTACTACCTGGGTATGTTACTTTACTTACTGGGGCCTCAGTTACCTATCTATAAAATGGGGATAACAGTCTCTACCTTTAAAGAGTTGTTGTGAGGACTGAATGAGACTATACATACAAAGTGTGTTCAGAACATGCTCACTACAAAGTATGTGCTCAATAGCTGTTGCCACTATTATTATTCCACAGAAGCCTAAGGGAAGTACATTTATCGGTTCATCTTTCAACTTCTAATACTGGGCCACCAGACTTCACAGAACCCGTTCATGGTTACACTGTAACTATTTTGAATATGGGCATAGGTGACAAGGTTCTTAAGACCTGAGACAAAACTACAGATCATATAGTAAGGGCTGGGAGTTACACTGGAGAAGCTCACACTCTCTTTGCTTCTATCAAGCACTGGGTCTCACAGGTCTCAAAGCAGTTATAATAACCTTATGCTGCTTTCATGGGCTATCTCAGTGCTGCAACCAGCCATTCACTTCCAAAGGAAACCTGTTTTGTTTTGTTTTTTTTTAAATTAAAGTCCGGGGCCGGCCCAGTGGCGCACTGGATAGTGCACCGCTTGGGAAGCGTGGCAGCGCTCCCGCCCGAGGGTTCGGATCCCACATACAGACCGGTTCCCACTCACTGGCTGAGCGAGGCGCGGGAGCAACACCGAGGGTTGCAATCCCGTTGCCGGTCCCCGGTCCGGTACGGGGGCAACACTGAGGGTTGCGATCCGTTGCCGGACACGGAAAAAAGACAAAAGACAAAAAAATAAATAAATAAATAAAATAAATAAATAAATTAAAGTCCGAACCCGTGGCCTGGGTGTTATCAACACCACGCTTTCCCGAGTGAGCCACGGGCCGGCCCCAAAGGAAACAATTTTAAAGACTCCAGAAAGAGTAGCAATCAACTGATTATGAGTGCCTGCTCAAAGTTTCAGGATATTATGACAAGTTAACATTAGAAACCTCACCAATAACTTATCTCATAAATGACATAAACAGTAGTCATCTAATTCTAATTTATTTTTTATTTTTTATTTTTTTAATTATGTTCCTTTTATAATATGCATGGAACTGTATCCTGGGAACTAAATATTTTGAGGAATGAGTTTTAAAAATTAGCCTTTTAAGAACTGATGATTCCCTATAGACAATAGGCAGAAACTAAGGAAATGTGGGCAATATACCTCTAAAACTGCACTGTCCAATACAATAGCACTAACCATGTGAGGCTATTTAAGTTTAAGTTAATTAAAATAAAATTAAATAAAGAATTCAGGCCATGAGTTGCACTAGCTACATTGAAGTACTCCACAGTTACATGTGGCTAGTGGCTACCATATCGACAGTGCAAATCCACTTCCCTCATTAGTGAAATTTCTACTAGAAATGTTCTGCTCTAGAACTCTCAAGACATATATCACAAAGGAAAAAGCATTAGGCGCCATAGTTCACATGCCTCACAAATGCACAAGCAGTTTAACTATAGCAATCTCTGAGGCAAATTAGGATTCAGTACCAGTTCTGCTCTTTCACAGATTTCTTTCTATAAGAAAAAAACCAGGCAGGCCGGCCCATGGCTAACTCAGGAGAGTGCGGTGCTGATAACACCAAGGCCATGGGTTCGGATCCTACATAGGGATGGCTGGTTCACTCACTGGCTGAGTGTGGTGCTGACAACACCAGGCCAAGGGTTAAGATCCCCTTACCGGTCATCTTTAAAACAAAACAAAACAAAAACAAAAAAACAGACAATCTATTTAGACTATGCTATTGCAGCAAGAGTACAAAGTTGTGTTCCACTCTGAATTCCCTGCTCCGACCTCTGGGAGACAGTATAATCCTAGTAAGAGCAGACATCTGTAAACAAACGAGTTCAAATGCAGCTGTCATTTAAAAGCTCATTGACTCTGGACAAATTAAACTTTCTCGATTCAGTTTCCTCTTGCACACAAAGCCACTTTATGGGGCAGCCAAAGGGGATCCTGCCATTCCCTTAGATCCCACAAAGCCCACTCATTCTCCCTTCCAGCGATTAAAAGTGGAAAATAACAATATCTGTCCAAGGCCTGTGTGAGGATTAACCAAGCTAATACAGGTAAAGCATTTAAGCATTGTGCCTGGCACAGGGGAGCACCCAAAGAAGGATGGCTTTGAGTAGGATACCTGGCCTCTGAAGAACATGCTGGACTCTGAATTGTGAGGCTGTTTTGTTCCCAAGCATTTTTCTCAGGGTTGGGCTTTTCTATCTTTTTTCCCATGAGGTAGATGGTCTCATCAGGCAGTGCTTGTGGTCTCTGGCCATTCCTCTGTAAACAGGTCTCAAGAGGACAATCTAAAAAAATCTGGCAAAAGCCTAATGAATCTGAAAACAGTTTAAAACCATAAAATTACTGGTGTACTATTTTTCCAAAATATGAAATAAATATATATTAGACAAATTATGCCAACTGCAGTAGGAAGAACTTCATTTACAATACTGAACACCTAGCTTTTAAAATTAAGCAAATCCATATAAACCTCCTAATCCAATTAAATTCTCACTGAAGACAACAGTGATTTTGATAATGTGAATAAATGTATCCATGTGTAAGAAAAAAAAGTTTTAATTACATTTCCGAGCCAGTTGGTAGACTTCATATCTCATACTTTGATAATAAAAGTTGTCATCTAAAACCAAAAACAAAGGTCTAGAAGCAGCAGTTTTTGTTAAGAGGTAGCAAGACTGGGCCTCATGAGCTGCAGGAAATATCAGATCTTGATCCTTTAAGCAGGTTGTAAAACTTTCCCACATGGCTTCAGTCCTTTTGGGTGGGGCAGACATTTGACACCCATTAATGACAGCCATCAAGAAGTATTCCAGGTATTTCAGCAGCTCCTGTCGAAGCAACTTCCAACAGGATGGCTACAAAAGACAAAAAAATTGCTATTTGCGTTAGGCCAATAGGGTGGTCATCTGGTCTCACTGCCACCCTGCCCCACAAGAAAATTTCAGTTCACAATACAGAACCATTTGGAGTTCTCTAACACACCTCATTTCTCATGCCTCCATGCCATTGTATATACCATTGCCTTTGCCTGGAAACCCCCTACTTAATGATGCTAATGCTGTGTGATGCCTTCTCAGATTCAACCATGCAGAAGGCAGCTCAGCCCCTCTTGCCCATCAAGATACCCTGTTCTGTACATTTTATGTCTCCATTCTAGCAGGCCTTGTACTGTTTAGGCATTTGTTTGTACATCTCTACTGCCTGCTAGATCACTAGTCCACTATATACTCAGTCTTCAGCAGAGGATCTGGCATCTAATAGGTGCTCCAGAAACGTGGATTAAATGGATGAATGACTGAATAAATGAAAGAATGAAAAGCTGATACCATCTAGGAGAAAGGAGGAGCCAAAATCAATATCCTGCCAAAATAAAATAATCTGGCTAAGATATAATAATGCTGGTTTGCCATTGAAATGAGAATGGTATGGACAGCAAGAAGGTCAAATGAAAGGTCCCTGGGTCAAGATTAAAAGACCCCAAGCTAACAACTGGGTTGGTATAGGTTGTGGAAAGACAGAGGAAGCAGATGAAGAAAATAAACAGCTTGAGAATACTGAATAATCTTGTGTTGGTCAAGGGCTGTGGCAAGTACTGATGTACTCATGAAGTCAAGGCTGGAGAGAAATCAAGAGGGCAGGATGTCGAGGTCCTTCTCTTGCCTGTCTATGCCTTTCCACATCACTGAGTTTACACAACACACAACAAATACACCTACTAAAACCACTAAAAAGGAAACACGTATCATTTCCTAAAAGATGAGATATTCTAGTCACGCTGACCAGATTGAGTCCCACGGCCTTTGTCTGTAAGGAAAGACAAATTTGGGGGAGTAGAAAAAATATAATAAAAGTGAGGGAAAAGCCAGCAATACAACAATCCCTATCAAGAAGTTTCAGCTTTCTCTGGAGTGGTGAAAATACTCTTAACCAAGCAAATTTTGTGCTGCCCTTATAATGCATTTACCTCACAATTTACCAAGAGGAAATAGATAAACTTTGCTGGAGAGGTCCAGAATTTATCCATACAAATGTACTGTATTTTTGCATATATACTTATAGAGTGGAGTCACATCATATTTGCATTTGACTTATGTGAATTCATCTGTGCTCAGGCACTAAACAACAAAAATAACAATTTAAAGATTTCAGAATGTTTTGAAGGGTATTTGCCCTGGAGTGATCATGAGATAAGAGACATGAATGTACTCTTCCCCCAGTGGTCTCAGATTCCATATGCTTCTCCAAGAGGGTCCACCTCATTGTGCTGAGTGTGGGCTGAAGGCTTAAAGAGAAGTTTGTACTTGGAAGGTACAAGTTGGTCCCTAAATACAAGCCCATTACTTCTTCTAGTGATCAACTAAGGAACAGCCATCTTTTCCAATGCTGACAGAGGCAGATTTACCAGGAAATGAACGAAGATGAAGCTTCAGAGGCCAGGCCCTTTACTCGTACAGCTTCTTTCAATCATTCTGGGAGGGATCCTAGCAATTTTGTTATTTATAACTTGTGTTTTCTTAAAGAGGGGTCTCCAAATTGAATAAATTTCGAGTGCCACAAAGACTGGATCCGCTCGTGGCTAGATGTTAAACTGGCTACGCTGGAATTTTTAAGAGATTCTTTCCCTGTCCTCAGAAAATACTTCCAAGGGATTTTCAAGAGTTCATTTGACTAAAAGGGTTTCCGCCTTGCACACTGACTTCAGAACCTAACCCTGTCTTAAGACATGTATAGAATACACAATACCTATACGCACCAAATATACACAACACCTCTGCGATCCATCATTCTAAAACGGTTGTTTTGTAACTATTTTATGATACGTTTCCACGGCCAACTCTTTCGCTCACTCCAATGTGTTGACCCAGCCCCACTGTTCTCAAACGGCTGCCTCTCCCCCCTGTCAGGGCTTCACCTCCCACACCAGGCATACAGTGTACTTAGCATACAGTGGGCGCTCAACACAAACAATCAGCACAGCACGCAACCGCGTGGCCGGGAGCTGCGCGCCCCCCGCACTGCGCCCACGGCTAGGCCCCGCCCCCTCCGCACTGACCGTTCGCTCGTTCGCCCCGTCCAGGAACGCGTCGGGCATGACGTCATCATATGCGACCACGCCGACGGCCCAGCCTCGCTGCTGCCGCAGCCGGTGGCGGAGGGCGTGCGCCAAGGTCGATTTTCCAGCTGCCGGCAGGCCGCAGAGGACGCAGAGTCCTCGCTTTTGCGGCCCCTCGCTGCCGGTTCCTGTGGCGTCCTCGGCGGCCTTCATGTCACCCAGGGAGCCCGAAATTGACTGGGAACGTTGGTGCAGGCCGCCGTCCGCCAGCCGCGCACGCGCAGCGTCTCCCACAGCTGTGCGGCGCCGCCCGGTGCCCGGTAGAGGAACAGGCGAGGCTTCAGATTAGAAAGAGATGCGTGGTCCCGCCTGTCCCTGCGTCACCCCCGTGGTCACCTGAGCCGCTGGCGCCCAGCTGTCCGGAGGCCAGGCCTCTCGCTGAGGCGGCCACGGCGCTGCGTTTCCTATATCCTGGGCAGTCGTAAAGGACCCTAGAGTTGGATCGTTCTCCCTGCCGGAAACGTACAAGCCATAGAGATTCGCGGTCGGTTTTGTCACGATGAGGTCTCTCTGCCCAGGAGCATCCAGAAGAGACTTAGCGCCTCTTCCTCCAGCGGTCTTTGGAGAGGAAATACTATAAATCAAAGAATGTAGGGTGAGGCTGACAGCCCACGACGGCTTTTCGCTGCCCTTCCTAGATTTGAACAGGGCGAGGGTAAAGTAAAAACTAGTTATCGCGCCCTGCGCCACCAGTCGTCAGCAAGTGTGAGGAAATAAAGTCAGGAAAGGAACATCCTTAGACCTCAATTCCAGTGCATGCATGCAGAGAACAGTAGGTATTTTAGTTGCAAAAAGGTAATACTAAGTTGTTGAGAGGTATGAAACAAAATTTTTGCGTGGGGGTGTGGTGTAGAAAAATTCAGATTTGATACAGATACGACTTTTCACCTTATTTTAGGGGACGATTACTTCTTACTCATAAGGGGTGGGTTCAAAATGTGAACACGTGAGGATATAATCAATGTATACTGAAGCAAAATACTCCAATGCTAAACCTGATATAATTTGTGATTACAAAGCAAATACACATACATTATTGTTGGAGTGAGCAGGACTGAAGCCATGTTGGGAACTAAAACCGCAGGGCTCTGAAAGATTTTAAAAGGACAGTTTTTTTCTTGGTGTACATTTCTTTGCATTCCTGCTTCTCCCATGACTATTTGATATTTTGAACCTTGGTTATCGAGCAAGATGACATTATTTTTTTTTTTTTAAATGATGACCGGTAAGGGGATCTTAACCCTTGACTTGGTGTTGTCAGCACCACGCTCAGCCAGTGAGCAACCGGCCATCCCTATGTGGGATCCGAACCCGGGGCCTTGGTGTTATCAGCACCGCACTCTCCCGAGTGAGCCACGGGCCGGCCCCACAAGATGACATTATTTACATAAATGCAAAGTTGTTTTCTAGTCAGCCTTAAGCTGCAAACTTGCAGACTTGCACATACTGTCCATACCCTGGAAAACTTAAGGAAGACATCAATGAAGCTATGGCTGATTCCATCCTTCTAGGATCCCGAGATGACAGCAAGGATGGGAGCAGAAAACAGATGGAGTCTTGGCAAGACCTTGCACTTGGCTCCTCACATGGTGCCCCTAAAGCTCACATCTTCCTCCCTCCTGCTTTTCATTTCCCATGTTCGCTCAACCCCCTCTTTAAAAACCCCTCAGTAAATCCGAGTCTTTGAGGTGGCTTTAATCTGGCCATTCTCCTTCAGGATTACTGGAGAGATGGGTTAGCTTAACATCTCTCCTTAGGTCATGCATATTCCTAAATAAAAGCTGGCTTTGATTTTCACCAACATTTGACTTTTGAGTGGTTTGCTTTTGAAAGGGGCCAGTCAGCTGGACCTGTGCCCTGTAACATAGTCTCTTATTCTTTTGGGTTCAAAGTGAAGAGCACTGAGTTGTTCAGTTCATGATGTTTTATTGTTATTGGTTCAGTACAAGGTCCCTCCCTTTAATTTACCATTCTCTTTTATCCCTCATTCTCCACACCCACACCCATTTCTCCACTTTCCCCAGAAAATCTTTTTTTTTTTTTTTTTTTTTTTTTTTTTTTTTTTTTTTTTTTTTTTTTTT